AACTAAAACTAAATAATACTATATTANAAGTAGTATATATATACTTAGTAGTGAGTAGTTAGGTAGTGTAGTAGTAGTAACGTAACTAACGTACTTATATATATATATATATATATATATATATATATATATAGGAAATTGATTCTATGAGCAAGTGAGCTCAAAAAAAAAAAATGAGCCCAATAGCTCAAATTGAATATGGGCCGATTTGACGATCACGGATGTTCAATAATTTTTTAATTTAATTTTTTTTCTACAAATCCAATTCACTTGAAATTTTAGGCATGTGTTCAACAAAAATAGGATCGGGGTAACAACCCTACTCAAGGAAAAAAATAATACCAAATTCACCTATTTTTGTTGATAATTTTTGTTCATTCATAATTTTTTCCCTGAGTAGGGTTGTTACCCTAATCCTCATAGGTAAGTAATTTTTTGATCTGTAGCTTAGAGTAAACATACAGATTTGTATTTCCTTGAAAGAAGTGAACAATAGAAACTGATCCTGTTTCCATTAAAACTGATTCATACCACTCACGGGTTTTGATACCATTGATCGGGTTTAAATGGTTTTGAAGATAAAGGGGAGCTAATTTATGTGGGTCAATATGAATGTGTTTGTCATCTATGGTAATATCAGCTAGGAAAGCATTATCTATGTAAGCAGATTTGGACACTGAGGAGGTTTGCTTATTTGGGTTTTGTGCTGGAGACAAAGCAGGACTTGGTGTATTATGTTTTGGACTTTGAATAAAATATTCTGGTACATTGGTGGATCTTAGTGGAGACATTGGTTGTAATGGTAAAAAAAATTGGCTGAGCATAAGAGGCTCAGATGAATTAAAAGGAACTAAGTCCATTGGCGTTATGTATTAGTATTCATATTCATATCTAGATGAAAAAGTTGTAATCCGTAAAGGAGTGGCTCTTCAGGTGGAAGAGTGGTAATGTATATCCGTAAGGGAGTGGCTTTTCAGGTGGAAGAGGTGTAATGTACGACCCCCCCTGCAAAAATTCACGGGTAAGAAAATCAGGCAAAGAGTTAGAGGTACCATGAAGATGTTCAATGGAAAAGTCAAAAGCAGATAAAATGGCTTGCCAGCGGGTAAAAATTTGTTTGGAAACAAGATTATGAACATCTTTTTGCAGAATATCTTTTGCAGCTTTGCAATCAGTGCGTATTAAAAAGTGTTGGTTAAGAATATCACTCTGAAATTTAGTTACACAATATATAATAGCTAATAATTCTTTTTTGACAGTGGAATAATTCTTTTGAGTAGGATTCCAAGCTTCGGAAGTAAAGCGAATGAGTTGTTCTTGAGAATCAATTTGTTGTTTTAATATTCCTCTTAAACCGAGTTCAGAGGTATCACATTCAATTATTTTGAACACAGTAGGATTAGGTAAAGTTAAACAAGGAAATTCTTTAGCTTTTAGTTTGAGTATTTGAACTGCATTAGTATGAAGATCCGTCCAAGGTGAAGGATTCTTTTTTAGTCTATCATATAAAGGTTTAGCATCAAGAGCAAGATTTTTATAGAAGTAACTAATATAGTTTAAACATCCTAGAAATCGTTGAAGTTCGATTTTATCTAGGATTTTATCAGGGAATTTATCAGCGAAGACAATAGATCGATCAATGGGAATGATAGTGCTTTGGTTAATATTATGTCCTAAAAATCTTAGTTTGGTTTGAAATAAATTAATTTTTTTAACAGAAACAACTAACCCAGCATGTTTCACTGTATTGATAAAAGTGTTAAGATGTTTAAAATGTTGATCAATAGAATCCGAAAATATTAAGACATCATCAATGTAGACTATCATAAATTTATGATAAGGATTGAATACATCATTCATTATCTTTTGAAATTCAGATGGAGCATTTTTTAGACCAAAAGGCATCACATTCCATTCGAATTGGCCAAATGGTACATTAAATGTTGTTTTATATTTATCTTCTTCTTTAATTTGTATTTGCCAAAAACCTGATTTCATATCAAATTTAGAAAAAATGATTGCATTGACAAGTCTGTCTAATAAATCTTTTTTATTAGGAATTGGATATCTAATCCATTATAAAACTTTATTAAGAGTTTTATAATTTATAACTAGTCGAGAAACTCCTCTTTCTTTTTCAGCATTCTTATTTACATAAAACGCTGAACAACTCCAAGAGGATTGACTAGGTCTTATTAGTTGTTTTTGGATTAAGTCATCTATTTCAATTTTGCATGTTTATAATAATTCACTGTTCATTTGAATTGGTCTAGCCTTTGTTGGTATTTTCTTTTTCATCAAAATCAGGCTCATAAGGTAAACTAATAATATGTTGTTTCCTATTCCAGAATGCATTCAGTAAATCACTACATATTTCTTTTTCAATTAATGTTTTAAGGGGCTGTATTTTCTGCATTAATTCAGAGTTTTGTAATTTTTCACATATTATTTTATGTTTGATTTCTGTTTGTAAAGAACATAGAAAATGTTCCTTTTGTTTAATAATTATTTTGACAGTATTGATTTATTTGATTTTAGGTTTATCTACTAATTCAAATTGGATTGTAGTATTGTTTATTTGTGTTTCTATTCCTGTATGAGTAATTGTCATGGGATAAAGTAAGGTCAGAAAGGGTACACCAAGGATAACAACTTGATTTAATCCTTTAACCATGATAAAAAGGGTTGAAAAACAATGTCCATTATTACAGATCATAGTATTTGATAATTTATATTTAATATATAATCTACTACCATCAACAGTGTTTAAAATTTGAGTTGTTTGATCAAAATATTTAACAGGAACTAATCCTTCATTGAGACAGTTTAAATCTGCTCCCGAGTCTATTAAAACTAAATATTGGAAGTCATACTCATTATTGACTACGATTTTGACTAATACAAACCATTTTTTAGTAATCACTTTATTAAGTAAATTTAAGGAAGTAGTATCATCTTCCTTGATTTTGACTCCTGAAGATTCAAGTTTATTCTTAAGATTATAAGTATGGACTAAATTATCAAATTCAATATCATCATTTTCAATTACTACATCCGAAATGTTATTTGGTAATTCTAAAATTTGTATCCTATTTTTTAATTGGGATACTTCAATTTTAATATTATTCACCTCTGTTTTGAGTTTACCAATAGTGGGTTCTTTATGAATAGCTTCAAGTTGACTGATTCTTTTCATTATAGTAGATATCAGAACTAGTAGAGGAATTATATATTTGTACTAGGTCAAATAGATTATTTCTTAAGGATTCATCTAATATAAGAGTTTTGATTTTATTTTTGACTTTACATTGGCTTTTATAATGGCCAATTTTACCAAATTTATAACAGACAGGCAATTTTCTTTTGCCCTTTTTCTTAAAGGCAGAATATTTGGGAGCAAATCTTTTGATAAATTTATCTCTTTTCTCTCTATGTTTGTATTTCTTAGAATGATATTTTTCTTTTTGGTTAGATCTATGTATTTTTTTATGAGATTTATGAATTTTATCTTTTTCTATGTGGTAACCAAATTATTCACAAAAATCACCTAATTCTTTTCTACCATTCATTTTTTGTTTATCAAGTTGTTTCTTTAGTTTCATATCTGTGCATAATGCTAATCCTTCAGCACATATTTCAGCAGATAATTCTCCTAACATATATTTAAAATAATTTATTATACCACTATTTTTATTTTTAAGACGTTCTTTTACCTTCTCAGCGAATAAATAAGGTAATCCAGCTATGAATTTTTCTTTCCAGTGTTCAAGCTGGCTATCTTCTCTTGGTAATAAACGGGAAAAGAATACATCTTTATACCATTTATAATGGGATAGAGTCGGACATCTTAAATTAGATAAAAGATCTTCGAATCTAGATGCTAAGACAACAGTATTTCCTATAAAATGGAGAGTAATAGTATAAATTAGTGTATTGACTGCATCACTTTCTGTATAAAGGACATCTTGGTTTTGTTCATTTTTGGCAGTCCATTGTCTTGTATTATTTAATATTTGTTTTTTAATAGATTCCTCCTCAGTATCCAAATCTGCTTACATAGATAATGTTTTCCTAGCTGATATTACCATAGATGACAAACACATTCATATTGACCCATATAATTAGCTCCCTTTTATTTTCAAAACCATTTAAACCTGATCAATGGTATTAAAACCCGTGAGTGGTAAGTAAGTTTTAATAGAAACAGGATCAGTTTCTATTGTTCACTTCTTTCAAACAAATACAAATCTGTATGCTTACTCTAAGCTACAGATCAAAAAATTACTTACCTATGAGGATTCGGGTAACAACCCTACTCAAAGGAAAAAATTATTAAATACTGAATACCAATATAAATATTTTCGGTATGCTGAATTTATTGAAGCTCGGCATAAAGTCTTTTTATACCAGAATCCTAATAATACTCATTCTTGATAAATCCAGTTCAAAATGCCTATACTTGAAAGATTTCCTAACTGCTTCCGCCATTGGTTCCTTATTTGGGGATCTTCTACCCAAATACTGCCAGACACTTTTCAAGCCTTCCAAAATAGATTCTCTGAACATAATACATGTACAGATTTGATAGACTACCATCTTTATTTCATGTCTATATATCAAATACCCTGGATCTGCAAATGGCAGTATGCTATTTCCGAAAATCATTCTAATAATTATACATATATTCCCCGTCTTGGGAAAATTAAAATCAAATGGTGGAAAATATTTAGCACGGACCCACGTTCTTTTCCTCTCAAAAGGATTCCTCCATCCTCTGAGATATATAATACTTCTGCTCATAATACTGCACCCAATATTATTGACCTACATACTTTATCTTCTTATATTAAGCAAATGAAACAAGCTTATCTTAATCCTACTCTTGCAGAATTAGAAAAACAACTCTTTGAAATATTTGCTAAACCCTCTACAGTACTGACGGCATCAGAAGAAATGGTCCAATCCGGTAATCCCTTACTGGAGGATTTCAGTCAAAAACCATATTCTTAAGCCCAAGCCCATTAAGTACAAGAAAATATTCTCCTTATCTAGAAAAATATCCCAATTATCCATAAAGCAGACCTGATAAAGCAGACCCGATATGACTCTTAAATAGTGAAAAGCAAGATTCCTTCACTTGATAAGACTCCTACACAGTATAAAGCAAGTAAAAGTAACCCCAGGCACAATAATTAGATTCCTTTTTTGATATGACTAAATATTAGTCAAATCAATTCCTTCCTCTTCGAACATCAAGGCGTCCACGTGTCCTCAATAAATAGTACCATGATTGTCTTTTTATAATAAAGCAAGATTCTCACCGACCGCTGTTGTTTTACTGCCACATGGCATCCCATTCTACCAAGCCTTCATCACCGACACTACTGAGACTTCCTTAGCCACAAAAGCAGTCTTCCTTATCTACAAAGGCATCTTCCATCATATCACCATCCTCTCAGAGGCGCATCTTCGTCCACCTGGCAGCCATCGACATATGGCTCCATCTATAAAACCCCATCTCCACTCAAGTTGAAAGCAGAGAACAAGAAAACCTCACAGCCACATCAGAAGTCCTTCTTCAACATTCCTCACTTACTTTTCTCTGCTATTCTCTCTTTCTTTTCTATTAGAACCCTCCACCTTGGACGGATCTTCATACTAATGCAGTTCAAAGACTCAAACTAAAAGCTAAAGAATTACCTTGTTTAACTTTACCTAATCCTACTGCGTTCAAAATAGTTGAATGTGATGCCTCTGAACTCGGTTTAGGAGGAATGTTAAACCAACAAATTGATTCTCAAGAACAACTCATTCGTTTTACTTCCAAAGCTTGGAATCCTACTCAAAAGAATTATTCTACCGTCAAAAAAGAATTATTAACTAATATACATTGTGTAACTAAATTTCAGAGCGATATTCTTATATATATATATATATATATATATATATATATATGAAAATGATCCGGTGAGCTCATAGGAAAAAATGAGCCCTTAGCCAATCTGACGATCACGAATGCCGGATAGTGCTTGAATTTTCATTTTTTTCTACAAATGCGAATCACTTGAAATTTTAGACGTGTTCATCAAAAATAGGTGAATCTTTGAAAAATATATAAAAAATATTTTACATGCAAAACATTGACCAAAATACCCCGGTAAAGTTTTAAAGGTATTCTGGTCAATTTATTTTTTGCGGATTTTCTTTCTATTTTTATTAAGTACCGCTTGATGAGAAAAACACACGTCTAAAATTTCAAGTGATTTGGATTTGTAAAAAAGAAATTAAAATTCAAACACTACCGAACATCCGTGATCATCAAATTGCCCAGATTCAATCTGGGCCGTTGGGCTCAATTTTTCTTGTGAGCCCACTGACTCATTGGATCATTTTCCATATATATATATATATATATATATATATATAAT